CAAATGTAATCATTTTTAATGGAACACTAAATTAAAAATTCTAAAATAGAAAAGAGGTGGTTGGGGAGGTTCAGGATATACACACAATTGATTAGCGAGATCTGCATGCACAAGACTTTGAAGTCCACTAGAGTCTTAGCGGAAGGCAAAGCCACATTAGTAATTTGAACATGCAATATTGACATCCGAAGTCATGTTACATGAACTCGATTAGAAGTATATACGAGCATGTGTACATATAAGTATATGTATGTGCAGATTTTTGCTATTTTTTAGTTTATTCAAAGAATCCGCACGAAATCCATAACACCTATGTCATCCATTTGATGCGGGTATGCCAACACATGATCATCTTACCCTGAACTCTCAACCCCTTCAGTCCTTCACAGTGGATATGTTGTTTGTGACAGTAATCAACAACAATAAAACTATCATATAGCATAAATGTTAATTACATAAATTTTCCTTGATGTCAATCCTAATTTGAAAAGCCTCACGTGGGTTTTAAAACAACGAAAACCTTCCTCCTTTTAATTTCTGTATGCAAATAGTATTAGTCACGTGAACAGACTACTTCTGTTACCAACAAAAAAAATTGAAATTCTGATACATTGAAGGACAAATTTTGAAAATTTTACTTCAGATGAGCTTTCAAGAAAGACTGTTAAAAGAAGATAGACAAGTTTTCTCCTCAGAGAAGCACTTCCCGAAAACATATACCATGTTATCGTATGTTTATCTTTTGGTTTTTATGCTTCTGTCACTATCTCTACGGTTTCTGCTGACGTTACTAATGAATTGTCTCTTCTTGTTTTATTTCCGTCTTCCTGAGCCGAGGCTCTATCGGAAACAGCCTCTCTGCCTCATCAAGGTAGGGGTAAGGTCTGCGTACACACTACCCTCCCCAGACCCCACTTTGTGGGATTTTACTGGGTAGTTGTTGTTGTTGTTGAAATAACTATTGTGAGCACTAAATGAGCAGCCCACCAAAATCATTCATCTATATCAATTATTACCTTTATTTAAAACTCCAATATAGAAGGGTTTTATTCCCCGTTATTCAACCTTTCTTTCCGTTAATAAAGTCTCAACTTTAGCTCAAAAACATGGTAGGATGGTAGGAGAAATAAAGTTTTATGGAAATAGTGGAGTTAAAATAATAATCATTTAATATTTTTCGACAGGATGCTAAGTAATAAAAAACCAAAGTGCACATGACGAACTCTTCATTATAGAAATGCTAAATTACAAAAAAGGACAATCAATTACACAAATCTTACAATTGGGGAGGTTCTTGTAATTTTTGAAAGCCATATGGAAGGCAATATTGAAGAAACACTTACATGTATGCAGGCATTACTTGGATATATTTATAATAGATAACGTTGTACGCGGCAAAATCAGGAGACTTGATTTCTCGCTGTCGAGTCATTTCGGAAGCATGCCTCGGGACCCCGAGGACGGGAGGCCACGACCGAGTTCCCGACCTCGGGGCTCGTCGAAGCCCAACTCAAAGGAAACGGAGACCGAAGCCAGGACAGAGGAGGAAGCTCCTAAGGCACGCGGCTAAGTCTGACAGGGCCAGCCTATCCAGAGCCTATGTTGAGGCATCACGTCAAGCCATCCCATCTCCATACTTTGTAATTAATCTCCACATACTTGTAGTCGAGTCCCTCCTCCTATATAAAGGGGACTCACCCTACCTTGTAGGGGACTGATGTTGCTCCATTTCTCCACAAGTGCAATAATACCTCTCTCTCTCTTTTCTTTCTAGCTTGCTCGTTCTCACTGGCTCGAGGCCGCTTTAATATCTATAGTCCTCTTACTTGTTCTTCACTATATCGCTCAATACTAGTCGTAAAGAGCCTTGCTTGATCGTATCCTTAATTGTTATCCCATTCCCGGCTGCCCCCGATAGCTCGAGCCCGACTCGAACCTCGACCCCAGGGTCCTCTCCGGCCGGTCCTGCATCCGAGCAACAGGCCCCTTCGGTTTGATTACTGCCTCGTTTTAGCTCGCACTTCATCGTTAAACTTCAGCATCATCTGCTCTAACAACTAGCTCGAGAATAGATCACGTATTTTTAGAATCCCATTTACAAATTTAATTGTTGTTACCATTTTCACGGTAAACAAATGCATAAACAAAAATGCAACTCCTCGCGGATGCATGTACCATATTTTTCTGTCTGTTATAAACATATTCCTCGAATATACATATTAAACCTACACATATGCAGACATACACAACCAATACTCCTCCTATGTACCCCTTGTCACTTCCAGCCATGCTCTATTTCCTGAATTGGCTGCTTAGGCACGGAGCAATATGATATGTACTAGCATATGCACCTTTGATAGAAGAACCATATTTTATAAGAAATAGAGACTTAAAACCTTCCTGCTCTGGATAATCCACACAACATAAAAGGCAAAAAAGAGAGGAGAACATGAATAAAGCAAAATACAATCTACTAGATATAGAAGGTTTATACACAATCTGCGCACGATATTAAAGCAACTGTCAAAGTACTTCACCAGATAAAGAATGACAAAAAGTCAGCACTGCAAATGCATCAGAAGGACGCAACTAGGAACTATAAGAAGTATCACTGTGGAAAACCGACCTGTGTAGGGAGTTTACATGTATTAATACATACACCGACACATTTGCTCTCTTCCAGATACTTGCATTTCTCCACAAAAACCTATTCGAATAATTATTTCCAGAGATCAAAATGAGGGTGAAAGCATTTTAACTAGTGGCAGTCCAACTTGTAAAAGTGTAATATCAAGGAAACCCTGATAAAATACAGAGAGTAAGAGAATAGAAATACTAACCCCACTCATCAAAGAGGAACCATTAGGAAGATCCACCGAATTAACAGCGCACGGACCCATGAGCCATTGACAAGATAATGCAGTCACCCTTGCTTTCAGAAGCATAACATTCAAATATTCAGCAGAGAAGTAGCTAGTTTAGCCTAAAGGGAGCTCAAGAAGAAACAATTGTTATCAGGCAGTGGCAGAGCTACTACTCATATTTCACCCGAAAAATACACTGTATAGAAGAGTGTGTGTGTGTGTGTGTGTTGACTCCCCATTGACTTCTCCGTGTGTTTACTTCTTTATATTTTTACACCCCATAGTTAAAAACCTGGCTCCGCCACTGCTATCAGGAAAGCAGAAAATATAAGTTAAGGAAGAATGATCACTCACCAACCATCAAGGCTGCAAATTTACCACTATCTATAGGTGCAACAAGCATCCGGTAGAGCTCCAACAACAGAGGAGGGAATAGTGATCTCAATATCCGGACCTGTCACACTTGTAGTTATCACCAGGTGAGATATGAAAATCTACAAACCACTTAGTCACATTGGCCACAGATTCAACCACACCTCCCGGAAAAATAAGTACTCCACCGACCAGAGGAAATTTTATACATGAAAGAAAAACAACACTAGAATGGCATTACCGCGGCGTCTCTAGTTTCGGAATTGTTTTGACCAACAGTCAGACGATGTGCCACTTCAATTAGCCCCTCGTACCCAGGCTTATCAGAGTCCCACCGAGTCTCCTACCCAAATTGCAGGACTAATTGAGAAAACCAAGCAATATGAATTGGAGCCGGAGGTTTAGAATGGGTTTACCTGGACCATTTTGTTCCGGAATAGACTTAGGAACAAGTTATCAAACACGCCGGGCTTGTAAGCAACAGGAGACTTGTTTTTTCTTGCTTCAATCTGTGGGAAAGGAGAAATAACTTGTAAGGCGAAATCAAAAAAAAAGACAAAGAATTGAACAAGGGAAGAGCATTTCCCACAGGTTCTGATGTACTAGTAGAGAAGCACGAAACGCGAATATCAACTTTTCCTTTGAGCGAAGCGAAAAGGGGCGAGGGCACATGAACCATAGCCATATCCGGACTTCCTAATTCCTATTCTATCACAGATTTCTTTCTTTTACTTTCGACCTCAAGTAATTTCATAATGGCTAAAAGTTCAAATATAATTAGCTCTTCAACTTCCCCTTTGTCAATTAAATTTTCTGTATGAACCTAAATCTTGACCAGCCAAGTTTCATAAAAAACGCCTTACCGTTAGGAGTCATTTTGGTATAAGAAACAATTTACACAGGGATTATATACAAATTAGTATATGGTTTAATTTAAAATAGTGAATTACTTTTTAGCAAAATAAAAGTTTGTATAGTAGGATGTTTTTTTTTTTTTGGTTTCCCACCCGGTGTTCGGTACCCGCATTGGAACCTGACTATATCCGAATTCGCGCCGCGTAGGGCCCCATTCGGGGAAGAGCAGTTTCATCCACTGTACCATATCCTTTGACGGTTACACTACGATGGTAGTTAGTTTTATTGTTTTAATTCAGTTAAGAATTATTTAATTTTCATATTCTTATTTCACATTATACCCTACTTAAAATAATACATAAATTTTCCTCATTACCTTACATGTAGCATGTCTAACACTTGACAACTTGAAAAGAAGAGGATATTACAATATATTTTAGGAGATTTCTGTGATGCAAAATCAATAAATCACTTATTGATGCAGTTATATTCTCTTGGACATATGAACTTTATCTCTGAATATCTTTGAGGTATGCTACGTAATGGCGTAATGCCACAAAATTACAAGGATAAGCTAAGTAGCTGGCAAGCACAACATATGAAGACAATTTGGCAAGAAATGAACTAGATTTATGTTTTAAAACATAGTTGTTTGCAACATTTGCCGTGTTGGCATAAGAAAGAGCATATATCACCTTTTGGACTTCCTAGATTCAATTTTTAAGTAGATTTTGTACTAGTCCAATTTTATGTACTCTCTTTTGATACCTACTTGGTACTGTTTCCATTAATAAAATTAGCTTACTTAGAAAAACTAAGACTACTTGGTACTGTTTCCATTAATAAAATTAGCTTACTTAGAAAAACTAAGACTACTTGGTACTGTTTCCATTAATAAAATTAGCTTACTTAGAAAAACTAAGACTACTTGGTACTGTTTCCATTAATAAAATTAGCTTACTTAGAAAAACTAAGATCCTAAAATACCAACCAAACAATGTACTATATTATGCTGGTTTTTATACACAGATTAACTCTACTGAAACATTAACCAAATGGCACCTTATTGAATTAGACTACACAAGCCTCTTTACTCTTGTTTAATTAAGCCCTCCTGTCTATCTTTCATTAGGGGCTAATTAGTACAGGTGGGCATAGTTTGGGCAAACCCAAAATCCGAACCGAAATTCGAATTTTTTGAATTTTTGGATTATGGATTGGAGTACGAATTTTATTTTTAAAAATTTTGGATTTTGGATTGGATTTGGATTTGGGACTTCGAAATTTCGGATATCCGAAAATCCGATTTTTGTGCCTTATATTTTGCCATACTAGTTAGACATTAGCTCATTACGGCATTACCCATATACATACCTAATACTAATTAGTCTCAATATCCAATAGTATCATGCCCATTAAACACTAGCCCGTGTATTCGATACACATTACTAAGTCCAATATGGGATTCTCTACTAAATCAAATATAATATAAGGTTTTCTTTTCTCTCACGTCTCACCCACACAGCCACACCATACGTGTGTTTGTAAACACTGAAGAGTCAAGACCGAAGTTGACTAAAGATTAAATCCAGGTAATCTTTTAATTTATAATGGTATAATTTGAATAAGTGTGATCTGTTGCATATTCGAGACCTTTTTTCTTGAAGAGGCATTATATAGAATCGAGAAGATATAAAAAACTAAAGCATCTTTTGATTACCATGTCATGTTTTGATTGCTTTCAAGTAATTGATATTGCAAATAATTCATGTATTTTCTTTTTTATTATTTTGGTCCACCTAGATTTAACAGTGTTCAACTCACTTGTGTGCGATTTTTGTGGTATCAACATTAATATTTTTTCTCTTAATTTGCATAGATGTCAGAAACTGATAGTACATGAAGGAGGGGGTTCAACAGAAAGCACACCTAATAATTCTCCTATAAGTTCATCTGATGAAGTTTCAAAGAAAAGAAAAATCACACAACCTCGATCCCCTGTTTGGGACCATTTTGATAAGTATTTTTATTCGAAGGGAAGCACTAGAGCAAAATGCAAGTATTGTACTAGAAATTATGTAGCTTCTACAAAAAGTGGAACATCATCATCGAATAATCATTTGAAAGTGTGTCCTAAGTTTCCTCATAATGCTTAAACTAGTCAAACCAAACTAAGGTTTCAACCAATTTCAAGTGATAAAATGGATGGAGTATTGGTGAGTAGTTGGAGATTTGATCAAGATTCAAGTAGGAGGACCTTAGCTGAGATGATAATCTTGGATGAGCTACCCTTCAGTTTTGTTGAAAACGAGGGTTTCAAAAAATTTATGAGAATCGTACAACCTCAATTTCATATTTCCTCCGTAGAATAGTGACAAGAGATTGTTATGATTTTTATGGTGAAATAAAATAAAATATGAAGAAGGCTTTCAAAGAAGTACAATCAAGAATTTGCCTTACCACAGATACATGGATCTCAGTGCAAAGAATTAATTACATGTGTCTTATGGCTCACTTTATTGATAGAAATTGGGTTTTACATAAAAGAATACTAACTTTTTACCCTATCTTTAGTCCTAAGGGTGAAAATATGGTGATTGTTATCTCTAAGTGCTTACTTGATTGGGGTTTGGACAAGGTGTTCACCATTACCGTTGATAATGCAAGAATTGGGGAACTAACATGATTGATGATAATCACCTTCACGTAAGATGTATGGCTCATATTATTAATTTTATTGTATAAGATGGTCCGAAAGAAAATGGTGATTCTACCAAACGTGTTAGACAAGTCGTGAGATATATTAGAAAATCTCTTGCCAAGATTAAGAAGTTTAAGGACTGTTGTGCAATGGCAAACATAACATGTAAGAAAACCTTATGTTTGGATGTTTCTACAAGATGGAATTCTATTTACTTGATATTAGATACTGCACAAAAGTTTCAGCATGCATTTGAGAGGTATAAGCTTGTCGATCATGGATTAGTTAATTATCTTGTTACCCATGTTTGTGAAGATGAAATTGTGCAGGTTCGCTTATGAGTGATGATTGGAATAATGTAAGGAACTTGGTTAAGTTTCTTGAAACTTTTTATGAGCTTACTTTGAAAGTCTCGGGTTCACTTTATGTCACCTCTAATATTCACTTTTCTGAAATTTTCGAGCTTTTTTGTATGTTGAAAGGGTTGGTAGCAAGTGAGGATCTTGAGTTGCAATCAATGACAGTGCGAATAGAAGAAAAATTTGACAAATATTGGGGTGAACTAGAAAAAATGAATAAAATAATTTTTATTGCATGCGTTTTGGATCCTCGTAACAAGATTTGCTTCGTTGAATTTGCACTTTAGGAGATGTTTGGTAAAGAAAAAGGGGGAGAGATAGGAAAAGATGTGATAAAGTATATGAATACCCTATATAAAGAGTATATATATAAAGAAAAATGCAAATGGGTCTCAGCTTCCATCACCTTCATCTGACTCATCTAAGACGTCCAGTGTGAGTAGTTATTCTAACTAAAAGAGTATTGAGACTACAATACCAGAAATGCATAGAAGAGAATGAAAGTTCAGGTGCTAAATCTGAGTTAGACAAGTATCTTAGTGAAGGAACTGAGGTTGATAGCAGGTATTTTAATGTCTTACCTTGGTGGAAGGTTAGTGCAACCATATTTCCTATTCTTGCTGAGATGACTCGCGATGTCTTAGCGATTCCCATTTCTAGTGTAGCATTAGAATGTGTATTTAGCACTAGAGGCCGTATTCTTGATTCATTTAGGAGTTCATTGACCCCTAGAATGGTGCAAGCTCTTATTTGTGTTCAAGATTGGCTTCGAAGTGAAACTCTTCCTATTAACATCGATGAAGACTTGGATTATCTTGAGCATATTAAGAATGGTAAGAAAATAACAGTTACGTGCTTTTTCTTGTAAATAATTTATTTGTTATACTATATGACACATCTTCTTAATTTCTATTTAGACTTGGCCAACAGTGGGAGGGAATCTTACATTATAGATATATAATTCCTAATTGCAACTTATCTGGTAAGCCAAAGTTTTTACATACTTTATAATTTGTCTTTTACTTCTATTTTAAAGGTTGTGTTTGACTTATCAGCGAATCTTTTTATGTTCATTAGGTTTAATCATGTCTCGACTTCAAAGTCCTAAAGTTCGATCACCTGTTTGGAATCACTATGAAAAGTTTGAAGAAACTGATGAGGATGGTGCAAACTGAGATGCATTCATTGTGGTTGTGTTTTTCGTAACCATGCGAGGGGTTGTGGCACTAAATCCTTAATTAAACATCTTAGTTGTTATTTGAATCGCATTGAGTCTATCAGGATTGAGTAATGGTTGACTTGATTATGAACTAGTAGTAGTATGATCTATTTGGACATGGTTTTACAATGTTTAGACTTATTAATTTTCAAGATGATTACTTTTTAATTTCTTTTGTTGTCACTGCCAAAATTCTTTTCCTTTGTTTTGTTTTATTTTCAAATACGATATTGCCCATGAATGCATAGATTGATGAAGAAAGGAAAAGTCTTTGATTTTTACATTTTTGTCGCTTAACAAGCTCCATTGTGAGAAAGGAAAATGGTCGAAGAACTGTTCATGCGGGCATCTATATCCTTGTTATTGGGATATACACAAGCATTTGGCAAAAGAAATTGTGGATCTACATCCTTGTTAATAGTATATATTTTCTAATTTCGTCTTCCTTTATCTTTCTACTTCATTTAAATTATTATTTTTATGTCGAAGGTTTTCTATAAGCTCAACTTGTAGGCTTAAAAGTTAAAAGTCGAAACCGAAATCCGAAAAATCCAATCTGATTAATCCGAAACCGAACTTAAAAAGTCCGATCCAATCCGAAACTATTTGGATTGAATTTGAATTGTAATTTCTTCAATCCGAAAAATAAAAATCCAAGCCGTAATTTCATATTCAATTTGAAATGCCCGAACGCCCATTCCTACTAATTAGCCATTTTAAAATGGAAAATTGGCAGAAATGTACAACTTCTTTACACTTATTTGCACCCCTTAGGAAACAAATATATTTTGCCACGGTAGCCCAACAAAACATAGCAACCGCTAGCCCAATCTCACAAACATACGCAGATTTTATTTTGGGATTTTTACCTAGCTATACTATATTAGAAACTTATTTACCTATATTCTTTATGTTTTGAAGTTTTTTATAAATATCTAAGATTTCGTATAAATTATATATATTTCTTCTTAAAAGACTACCATTCCATTATTAATGCCTTCAAATAAGGGATTCAATTATATCCTTTCCTTTTTTTCCCTCTCATCTTCTCTCTCCTTTTTTTTTACATCAAAATTCTTTAATCTACACCTAAAATCTCCATCTTTTCTCTTTTCACCATTACCGATAACTTTATATTATTAAAAAATATTCTAAAATTTTATGATAATTGTAGGATAACTGTATCATAATTGTATTTGAGTTGTATAAGATGCACACATAAATGTATCATACAGTATCACAATTGTATCTAACTTGTATCTGGTATATTAATACACAAAATAATACCTGATACAATACTAATAAATTAATATACAATTATCATACTTGTGATACAAACTGTGAAATTCGTCATGAATGCATAACTGCTCGTAACAATATACAATAAATATACAATAATCATACATTTGTAATATAATTCTTGCAACAATTATGATACATATACAATTATAATACAATCACGATACATTTCTAAAATGTTATGACACAATTATGATCTTCATTGTTTTCAAGTTTCTATCACAATTCTACACTAAAATTTAATATAATCATATTATAATTGTATTAGTATTGTATCGAGTATTATTTTTGGTATTGATATATCATATACAAGTCACATACAATAAAGATTTTAAAAAGAAAGAAAACAAGATTCAAAACTTACACACAACTTGATTCTAGAGCAATATTTTAAACTTTGTCTACATTATATCCAAAAAAAATAGAGATTTTATGATTAGTAAAAAAGAGAGAAATCGAACTTCAAAAGCTTTGGAAGAGCAAAAAAATTTGCAATTTGTGTGTGTGTGTTTGTGGGGGGGGGCGGGTCATTACATGTTCTTTCCAACAATGAACATGTNGGTAAGCAAGATTTTGGGTAAGCAAAATTTTGGAAAAAAGTGAGTAAACGAAATTTCTTACTGTGGGTAAGAATAATTTTGGATAATTGTTAAGAAAGAGAGAATATGTTTTTGTAATCCTTTGGAAAAGGAAAGAATCTTAAATGTATGGGCAATTATTGGAAATGGGGGGTGGGTATCATATAACTGATAGGCTTGATTTAAGGGATCTTGAATTTTTTTTTTTAATTTTATGATTTTGTATATAACTAGTAAATATAGATATACAAAGTAATTAATAAGGAACCTAAATAAATGTGGTAAATAGGTTTCTATTATAATATAGCTAGGTAAACCCCCCTTTTCTTTTCTCATTCGCTTAATTCCTCTTCATTCTTCTGATTTGCTTTCTCTATATCTATTGCTCAACTTCTTCTCTTCATTTCCTTTCCCTTATACCACAAACTCTTCATTTACATAGGCCTAGAGATGAAAATATGAAATGAGTGTAGATAGGCTTCTTTCATGTGTCTTTCTGAACCTCTAATGTCAACAACAATAACAACAACAACAAAAAAAACTAGTGTAATTCTATAAATGAAGTCTGGGGAGGGTAGTATGTACCCAGACATTACTCCTGCTTTATAAAGGTAGAGACACTGTTTTCGATAGACCCTTGGCTCAAGGAATAATGGAGATAAGATAAAGCAGCCAAGTAGCAAATAATGATAACAACAATGTAAAAGAACCATGATAAGATAATACAAAATAAATCCTAGTACTACTAGTAAGCCTAGGAGGAACTCACTACTATCAGTCAACCTACAACCGTAATCCTCGACCTCCACACCTTCCTATCATGGGTCATACCCTCGGTAAGCTGAAACAACGATATGTCCTGCCTAATTACCTCTCCCTAATACTTCTTCGTCCTACCCCTTCCCCTCCTCAGACCCACCATGGACAATCCCTCACACCTCCTGACCGGAGTATCTATATCTCTTATCTTCACATGCCCAAACCATCTCAACCTCGATTCCTGCAACTTATCCTCCACAAATGCCATTCCTACCTTATCTATGATAACTCCATTCCTAATCCTATCCTTCCTGGTATGCCAACACATCCATCTCAACATCCTCATTTCAGCTACTTTCATCTTTTGGACATGTGACTTCTTAATGGGCCAGCACTCTACCCCATACAATATAGTCGGTCTAACTACCACTCTGTAGAACTTGCCCTTATCCAGGTGGCACATTCTTACCACACAAAACCCCTGAGGCTAGCCTCCATCTCATCCACCCCGCTTCAATATAATGAGTAACATCCTCGTCGGTCACCTGTTTCCTTGAATAATAGACTCAAGATACTTGAAACTATCCCTTTTGGGGATGGCTTGAGTACTAATCTTCACTTCCACTTCTTCTTCATACATCCCATTATTGAACTTGCACTCCAAGTACTCAGTTTTTGGCCTACTCAACTTAAAATCTTTAGACTCCAGTGTCTGTCTCCAAACTTTCAACCTAGCATTAACTTCGCCCCATGTCTCGTCAATCAGAACTATGTCATTAGCAAATAACATACTTGCACATCTCCTTGTATGTGTCCCATCAGCACATCTAACGCTAAGGCAACAAAAATGGGCTAAGAGCTGATCCCTGATGCAACCCTATTCCACTAGGAAATGATCCGAGTCTCCTTTTGAATTTCTTACACGAGTCTTTGTTCCATCATACATGTTCTTAATCACCCTAATATATGCCGCCGGGACACCACTAGCCTCCATACATCTTTATAAAACTTCTCTCAGGACTTTATTATAGGTCTTCTCTAGATCAATGAATACCATATGCAAGTCCATCTTCCTCTCCCTATATTGCTCTACCAATCTCCTCACAAGGTGAATAGCTTATGTAGTAGACCATCCAAGCATAAATCCGAAATGGTTCTTGGAAATAGTAGCATTACGTCGCACCCTTCTCTCCACCACCTTCTCCCAAACTTTCATAGTATGACTGAACAGCTTTATACCCCTATAGTTGTTACAGTTCTAAATATCACGTTTGTTTTTATATAATGGGATCATCAAACTTCACCACCAGTCTTCGAGCATCTTTTTCGTCCTGAAAATGATTAAACAAATAAGTAAGCCACTCCAAGCCTGCACGACCCGCTTCTTTGCAAAATTCCACTAGGATCTCGTTCGGCCAAGTTGCCTTACCCCTGCTCATCTTCCACATAGCCCCCCCAACCTCCTCACTCCTAATATACCTACAAAAGCTAAAATCCCTTTGACTCCCTGAGTTTTCCAACTCACCTAGCACAATATTCTTGTCCTCTCCCTCGTTCAAGAGTCTATAGAAGTACCCCACCATATACTCCTGATACACTCCTCTTCCGCCAGAACCTTACCTCTTCGTGTTTGATGCATTACACTTAGTCTAGGTATCGAGCCTTCCTCTCCCTAATCTTGACTAACCTGTACATCTTCATGTCGCCTACTTTTCCCCCAAGATCCTCATATAGACGCTCAAAAGCTGCGGTTTTAGCCGTTGTGACCGCCAACTTTGCCTCTTTCCTTGCCTTCTTATGACACTCCCAACACGTCCTCTTCTCCTCCTCATCTGTGCTCCCCACTAGCTTCAGATATGCCGCTTTCTTAGATTCCACTTTTCCTTGGACCTCCTCATTCCACCACCAGTCTCTCTTGTGACCTCTCGAATAACCCTTCGTTAACCCTAATACCTCTCTAGTAGCTTCCCTAATGCAGTTCGTTGTCGTGGTCCACATACTACTCACGTCCCCACTACTCCTCCAGGCTCCCATGGCCAACAGTTTCTCTCCCAACTCCTGAGCATTAGCCTTAGAAGGTATTTGGATTGGCTTAAAAGCTGGTCAAACCAGCTTAAAAGCACTGTTTAACTTGTTTGAGTGTTTGGTATCTCCAAAAACGACATTTAAGTTATGTGCTTTTAAGCCTAAATAAGCTAAAAGCAACAAGTTAGACAATTCCAACTTTTTTTTAGCTTAAAAGCTATTTGGGGTTGACCAAGTATTTTACATTATTGTCCCTCACACTTTTTTATAATCCCTAAAGTACCCCTAACAACATCAAATCCCTAGCTCCAGTCTTTTTCTTTTCCCCCTTCTTTGTCATGCTTTTCCCTCTTCATCTATTTTTCCTCTCTTTTCCTTTCATTTCTTTCTTTACTCCTTCATTCATTATTTTTCCCTCCTTTTCCTTTCCTTTCTTTCTTCCCTAGTGCTGCTCCCTTCCCCGTCACACTCCTTTTAATGTCAAATTTGAGAGGCAATTGACACAAGAGAAAGATTTGAAACTTAGAAACATCCAAATATATTTCATTTATATGTTCATTGGCCATAGTGGTAAACTAGTTAAATTATTATTATATGCCATTGACCAAGTGGTTATTTTAGTCAAATTATTATTATATGTTATTTAAATAAATAATTTATATATATTAAAAATAATTTTATCTAATTATTGAGAATTTAACGAGAACTAGACATAAATTAATTTTTACAAAAATCAATTTAGCATTAAAAACTTGTAATAATTAGCTACTTTTTAGTGTTACCAACTTTAAGGATATTTCAGTCATTTTAACAGAGAAAAGTACTCCTATTTACCAAACACTTTAATAACTTTTTTCTTTAATAGTTTTTATACTTTTATCCAAACACGTAACTGCTTATTTATAAAACAAGCTCTAGCACTTAAAAAGTGCTTTTAAGCACTTGTGCTTAAAACCTACTTTTTTTAAGTCAATCCAAACATGCTCTTAGTCAAGGCTCCCCACTTAATTTTAGGATGGTCGTACACCACTTTCTTCTTCCTTACTCTCTTGACCTCCAAGTCCATTACCAAGAGCCCTTGCTGCGTCGACAGACACTCACTTGGAATAACCTTACAATCAGTGCAAATGCCCCTATCACCCTTCCTAAGGAGGAGGTAATCAATCTGAGTCCGGGCTACCTTACTATGGAAAGTGACCAAGTGTTCTAGAAACACGAATTAGATAATACCAAGTCAAAAGATTTAGCAAAATCCAACAATGAGGTACCACCCTCGTTCCTAACTTCGAAGCTGAACCCGCCATGCGCCTTGTCATAACCCCTAACAATCACCCTAATATGGCCATTAAAATCACCCCTATGACGAGCTTCTCGGTGTGTGGAATACCAAGTACAACCTTGTCCAAATCGTCCCAGAAGCGCCTTTTGACCTCTTCGCCCAGGCCCACCTGAGGCGCGTAAGCACTAATCATATTAAAAGTAACCCCACCAACCACAAGCTTAATAGTCATTACTCTATCATTCACCTTTCTAACATCCACCACCATCTCTATCACGACCCAAACCCGTAATAGGCCGCAATGGCACTTAACGCCCCCATTAGGCAAGCCCACAAGTGAAACTACTATCTAGTTACACTTTTTTAACATTTTAAAACGGAAGTTTTCCTTTTAAGAGAACGAAGTAAACAAGATTTCATGCAACCGTAACAACTCTTTTTAAACAAAATACCAACATAATAAGTATATCCACTATAGTGATATAAATGATGAGTACAACAGTACATAAATGCTACAAGTCCCCAAAACCCAACGTCAAAGGTACACGAGCAATCTAGAGAATATACAAAACTACTCTCTAAAAGTGATAGACAGAAATAGTAAATTAGATAGATGGAGACTCCGCTGCTGTAGATCATAGCAAGGCAAGAAGCTCACCACTAAGTCTTCGTAGATGATCGACTATGCGCACCGGCAGTACCTGCACACCAGTACAGAAGTGTAGCGTGAGTACGGAAAACAATGCATACCTAGTACGCGGGTCGACTTAACACTTATTAGAGGTCAAATAATAATATAAATGCATAAAGTAGACATGGTGAGTATACAACAAGTATCAATGAAGCAAATAAGACTAACTTTAGTAAATACACTCAAGAGTCTATATCAACTCACCAACATATCATAACCGGCCATGAGGCGCTAACTCAATTATACCCAAACCAGAACCCGTTTCGATTATAAAGCACGAAATTGCCGAGGCGAACAGCCTGATCCCATGAAAATAGTGGTACTCAGTACTACCGAGACAAACAACCCGATATAATAGTGTTATCATACTGCCGAGGCGAACAACTCGATCCCATAAAAATAATATTACCATCATGCCGAGGCGAACAACCCGATCTACAAGAGTAGTGTTATCATACTGCCGAGGCGAACGACCCAATCCCATAAGAGTAGTGTTACCAACATACCAATGTGAACGGCCTGATCCTATAAGAGTAGAATAAATTTACCTCGCTCGCGGAAGCACTTGCGAGACGAGAAGACACATATTTATAGTTTATCAAATATTCCCCAATTTTTTGATATAAGAAACTAAGTCAATATTTCCAATTTAAATCTCAGTCTCAGTCCTAATCAAGATAATTAATACACATGATAGGCATAAACAGTACAATTAAAGGCATGATATGAATCGAAATCTAACCGAACATATCATGAAATATAGCTACTTACGGACTCTCGTCACCTCATGCGTACGTAGCTCCCCACACAAGTAGCACACAACAATAATACGCCTAAGGGGATAAGTTCCCTTTTACAAGGTTAGGCAAGAGACTTACCTTGGTTCCAAGTCCTTAATACGGCTCTCCGATCTCACTAGAACTCTTCAAACGACGTCGAGGGCTCCGAAACTAACCAAAAGTCGGATAAACTAATAAATATATGCTCAAAAGTTCATAATTTAGCTATTAGAGTAATTACCCAATCAAATTTGAAAGATTCCTAAAATTCGTCCCCGGGCCCACGTGCCTGAGTTTCGAAAATTTTCTAATATAAGTGTTACCCATGAGCTCACAAACTTAAATATATAATTTATTCCCAATTACGTAATATATTTTATGGTCAAATCTTACTTTTATCAAACCCTAGGTTCTACCAAAAAATCTCACAATTTTTCCTTTAATCTTATGCTAAATCTACCCAAAATCCATGTATTTAGCTAAAGAATTGATAGGGATCACTTACCTCTTGATGTTGATGAAATTCCCCCACAAAATGCTCTCAAAATCTCCCAAGACCAAGTGAAAAATGAGGGAAAAGAAGCGTCCCGTAATAAAAGCTCTTGCACCAGTCGCAGATGTCGCATTTGATATTGCGACATCTGGTTTGCAAATGCGATGGTCGCAAATGCAAATCCTGAACATCTCTTCCAAGGTCGCAATTGCTCACAAATGCGAAGCTGGGCAGCCCACAAAAGGGACAAAAGGGACCGCAGATGCGAAACGTGCCACACCCAGGTGACATCGCAAATGTAATGAAATCCTTCGCAAATGCGAACCCCTCAGTGTTTCCCCAACCTCACAAAAACGCATCCCTCCTCACAAATGTGAGGTTCACAAATATGAACAAAACCTCGCATTTGTGAGAGCTGCAATACCAAAACAGAAACAAAAAAACTGAAGTTCTCCCAACACTTCGAACCGCGTTCAAGACTCCCCCGAGCCCCCCGGGCTCCACACCAACCATCCAGAGAAGTCTAAAAATATCATACGAAGTCGCTCGCATAGTCGAAACACCGAAATAACATCTAGAATCATGAATCGGATGCTAAAACACATAAATTCAATCATGAAACTCAAGAACTTCTAAAATACATCTACACGTCCGATTCCTATCAAATCAACTCGGAATGACGCCAAGTTTTATGTTCAAGTCATAAATGGAATAACAGACCTTTTTTAACTTCCAGAATTAAAATCCGACAACCATATCAATAAAATCAACTCCCGGTACTTCTCAACCTTCCAATCCTTCAACATTCTAACTTTTGCCAATTCAAGCCAAAACGACCTACGGACCTCCGAATCAACATCTGGACACGCTCCCAACTCCAAAATCATTATACAAACTTATTGGAACCTTCAAATCCCGATTTCGAGATCGTCTACTCAAAATATTGACTCAAGTCAAACTTGGCTACCTTAGGCCACAATTAAGGAACTAAATATTTCGATTTAAACCCGAACCCTTCCAAATCTAAACCAACCATCTCTGCAAGTCATAAAATAATAAAAGCGCATACAAGGAGTCTTAGTTAGGGAATGGTGATTTAGAAAGCAAAACAACTGGTCGGGTCGTTACATTTTCTCTGAGATCCCTATCAACTACCTACTTCGTTCTTACCTGCAGCCCCTACCGAATACCACAACTTAAACTCGTTCACATCCCGAGCCCTCGAACCCTTCTATCTAGTCTCTTAGAAACATGCTATATTAATCTCCCTCTTCTGAAGAATCCTCCCTAACTCTATAGACTTACCCGCCCGTGTCCCTATATATATTCCTTGACCCCACTCCCAGCCTATTAGATCCCTTACTCTCTTGTCACCCTTTCCCCCGCCCCCTAGACATGACCCTGCTCTACCATCAGTCCGACTAGCCACAACACCAACAAAGAAACTAAGCAATATATATTAACTACTGCAAATGCAAACATGCGAAAAAGCTTCAGTATAGACTAAAAATGTTCAATACTAGCTCTAATACCGAACGATATTAATGCTAAGGGGCAGAAAAGAGTAATAAGGAGCACAACAAAATAAAAAAATGTAGCAAAATAAACTAGAGGGAGGGTATACAAGGATGATTATAAAGAATCACAGAACAATAATAAGCACAAAATAAGTGTAAGGAACACAGAACAATATTAATGCACGCAAGATAAATAACAAGGCAAAGCAGGAACAGTAGAACCTGGTTAGAAATGGAGGTACTGGGATGTGCCGGAACTGGCTGAACTCGACTAAAAATTTTTGTTTGCTTGATTTTCACGCGCTGCCATAACCCTAGATCTCGCCGAAAACTCGTCGATCCTTTTTTGTACACTGCTGCCAAATCGCGCACCCCTACATACCAATATATGAAGAAAAAGGAAGATAGTGAGAGGGACGGTGGTGGTAAGCTTGTCGCCGGCGTGGTGGCGATGATGAGGGGAAAAAAGAAAATCAACGTAAAGAAAAAAGAAGAGAGAGAAGAGGAGAGAGACGAGAGAAGGGAGGGGAAACGACCTACCTGGTGGTCGCCGACGCTTGCCCATTGCCATTGCCCTGCTGTGGGAAATCCAAGAGAGAGAAAAGGCTGCCAACTGAAACAACGAACACTTGTTAGTGATAGATCCGACGCTTAGGTTTCAGAAATAAGATATATACGAAGTAGATTTAGTTTCACTCATTAACGATCTCGCAAAAGTCAACAACATAAACAATAAACAAAACGAAAATGAGAAGTGGGAAATTGTGGTGAACTATTTCAGAACCTCCAATGTCAATACTCTCTAAATTGGTGAATAGTTGAAGAAGGTTTTAAAGAACCACAATTAAAGAATAAAATTTGAAGTTTCAACTCGAAATATGAAATTTCTTAGTACTTGTTTTTGAATTTTGAGTGGGTGTGGTTGGTATTTTTTGGAAGCCCTTGATATTGCTATGTACAAAATTTGACGAAGATTAGAGGTGATTTGAACCGGTTTGGAGCCAAAATTTAGAAGTGAGATTAAGCTGAACTACCATCACTGCTACATTGTATATCATACCAACACACACAGATATACAAGCATATACAAAGATATACAAGCATATACATGAGGATAGACACAAATATACACCTTTCCTCCCTTCAAATTCATCACCGTCACCTCTCCACTCAAAACCATCGTAGCACCACCGTCCAATCAATATTAGCGTAACAATTCAGCATGAATACCCAATTAAAAAGTTCTTTACTCACAACACCATTTGTGTTCGAAATTAAACGAAGAAAAAGGAGGAAGTGTTATAAAATAAAAGCAATGCAGTAAAATGTAAATAAGAAGAGATAGAAAGAAGGGAGAAGTGTTTTCTTCTTTCACTTTGGTATATCTTTTCATTGCAATTACATGGAAAAGTAAAGATGATGGACATAAAGTAGGAGATTTAATCTTTAAGTTATTCACAACATGGACATCCAATGTAGCATCCAATGTACAAACTATTCATAACACTCCCCCTTGGATGTTCATGTAAGATAATGTGCCTCATTAAGAACTTACAAAAGAAATTTTGGGATGTACATAGTTATTTATAATATGCATTACTTGCTGCCTTATTAAAAACCTTACCAGGAAAACCTAGTGGGACAAAACCTTGGTTAAGGAAAAGAGTGCAGCGTGTAGTTACCCCCCCTGATGAAAAATCACTTAATGTCTCGAAGACGACGCATTCCAATCTTATATATCGGCTTTTAAAATATTGAGGTTGGTAATGCCTTAGTGAACAGATCAGC